GGAGCAGCACAGGCAGAGCCACGTGGCCAGAGAGCCGCAGTGGGCACCAGGGCCGGCAGGGAGAGAGGTCAGGAAAGGGGATGAGTCTCTGGCTACATTCCCAAATTTCTCTCGATGTGACAAGAAGGGCCCCCCCAGCTGAGGTGAGCCAGAGCCCTCTGGAACTGCTGCTTTGAGGTGTGCCAGGAATGAGATCCCTGTGGAGCTGGGACTGGTGTCCCGATGTGGAGGCTGCCAGGAGGGAGCTCGGTTTGGCCACAGGACGGAGCCACACGGGACCGACGAGGAGTCCGAGTCCGGGAGGGAGGTGATGAGTCTGAGTCTGTGAAGGAGATGATGAGTTGGGTCTGTGAAGGAGATGATGAGTCTGAACCCGTGAAGGAGATGCTGTCAAGATAAAAGTTTGCCTTGGGAAGGAACCAGGCGATTTCCTTCCCCGCGTTAACACCCAAACCGGAGCGGGAGGAATGTCCGAGAGGCCGTTTGTGGCTCCTCTGCTCCGCTTCTCCTTGGCTCTGGTGTCACCTGGGCAGTGTCACCCCCTTCCCAGCTGTGTCGGGTGATGGGAATGCAGGTGTGTGACCTTGGCTGGGCAGGGGACTCCGGTGTGGGGTGGGATTTGGCAGTGCCCGTCCAGCTGCTGGATCTCCCGCGGGACCCCCGCCCTGTGCCTTTCCTGGAGCTGAGGACGGGGACCCCCCCCAAGCCTGTGCCTGAGCTGTGGGTCCCAGTGGCTGTTCCTGGTTTCCCTGTGAGGTCTGTGGGGTTTGTGGGGGCCCAGCGGTGCTGGGAAGGGCTCAGGGGGTGCTGCCTTGTGAGGCCGTGGGAAAAGAGGCTGTTGGGAACCTTGGTGGGTGCTCGGAGCAAACCCTGGATTCCCACCCTCCCCATGAATGGTGCATCCATCCTGGCAAGTCCCTGCCCAGGCTGGGACATGGCATAGATGTTTCCTGGGGGGCCCTGGGGGTTCTGTCTCCATCACTGAGGTGTCTCTCCCTCCTGTTCCCAGCGCTGCTGCTCCCACGTGGGATGTGCATCTGCTTCCCAGGGCTCCCAGCCTGCCTTCCTCCCATTCCCGGGGGGATACAGCAGTGTGGTACTGAGGGGGGGGGCATCCTGAGGGGCAGGGGTATCCCAGTGGGCAGGGAGCATGCGCTGGCTCTGTGCAAGCCAACGAGCACACCCCCAAATCCCCGCTGAGCTGCAAAGCTCCTCAGCCCTGGTTCGAGTTAAAGAGAATTAAAATGCTTTCTCCTGCGGGTCCGTAATCCCAGGGGCTGGGGCAGGGCCAGGAGGGATGCCCGGATGCTCCCGGCGTGGTCACCTGGGTGCTGCCCCCCGTTCTCCTGCCACCTCATCCCCCAGGTCAGGTCCCGCTGCCAGAGCATCCCCACCCTGCCCAGGGTGCCTGGTGGGTACAGGCAGCCCCTGCCTGCAGGGGAGCCTCAATCTGGGCCCTTTTTGGGGGTGCTGGCTGGGACCAAGGGGTGCGGGTGGGACCCCCGTCCCCCCTTCCCCACCGCAGGTGGGAGCCGGCAACAGCTTTGCCATATAAGGGCTGGAAGTCGGTTATTGTCTCACCAGGGCTTTCTCCTCCTCAAAAATCCTATTAAAACCTCATTTTTCTGACCCTAATCTCAGCTGGCCGTTCGGGAGGGATTAGTGTTTGCCCCCACCCGGCCCCGCTGGATCCGTGCTGGAGGAGCCTCCTTCCCACAGGGAAGGAGGGTCAGTGGGTTCCGAGCCCAGCACCAGCAGCTGCCTGTCCCTGTCCCTGTGTCCCTGTCCCTGTCCCTCTGTCCCTGTCCCTCTGTCCCTGCCCGAAGGGTGACGTTATCCTCGCCGCGTGCCAGGGCCAGTGATGGCCCTGCTGGCAGAGACCCACGGCCGCAGCTGGTGGAGCCAGGACATGTCCTCATCTGGGACCACTGGCTCCATCCTGGGATGTCACCAGGATCACAGCAGGGTGGGAGAGCTCTGGGAGCAGCAGGTGTGTGATGGGGGGGTGGTATTGGTGTAAAATGTAAAAAAGACCCCCCCAAAAAAGGCACGTGCCCGGTCTGGGACCACCGGCTCCATCCCGGGGGTGTCACCAGGGTCTGAGCAGGGTGGGAGAGCTCCAGGAACAGCAAGTGTGGGACAGGGAGATGGGAGACCCCCCCAGTACAGGCAGGTGTGGGAGCAGAGCACATCCCCAGCTGGAACCACTGGCTCCATCCTGGGAGCGTCACCAGGGTCTGGGCAGGGTGGGAGAGTTTTGGGAACATCAGGTGTGGGATGGGAGGTGGCAATGGTGTAAAATATGGAGACCCCAATACAGTGAGGCAGGGAGGGCAGGGGGCTGCCTTCACACAGCCCCTCCGTGCCTCAGTTCCCCTTCGTGGAGGCGATGCTGGCAGGGGTCCCTGCGACCCCCCCCCGTCCGTGTGTCCCCGTCCGTGTGTCCCGGTCCGCGTGTCCCCTGCCCGCGCGTGTCCCGGCGTGCCGGCAGCGGGGCCGGTGCATGCCGGGAGCGCTGCCTTCCCCCTTTGCTCCTGTTTGGCTGCGTATTTAGGACACTCCTGTGCAAAACACAAGTATTTTGGAAGGCGTCCAGGCAGCGCTCGCATTCCTCGGGGTGGAATCTGCCCCCGCGAACGCCGCCTGACCTTTCCCGCTTTGGGCTGCGGGAACGGTCCCAGGGACCGTCCTGCCCTTGTGCGCCCACCCCAAGGGGTTGGGGACCCCCTCCCCACACCCCCCTCCCCAGGCTGCCCGGGCGCTGCAGGAAGGGCTGAGTGGAGGTGGCAGGATGGGGCCTGCTGTCTCCAGTGCTGCTCCAGGACCCCCGGGGGCACCCAGCCCACCACACCGGGCCCCTTTGCCCCCTTTCAGCTGGAGAGTGAAGCCCCCCCGGGCGCTGCTCGCACCCACAGCCCCATCCGGTTGCTCCGGCCGGGCAGCTCTGCGTGCTGGGACGTGCCAGCCGCCTGTCCCCAGGCTGGGGCGAGGGCACGGGGCTGTCCCCGGGGTGGCTCCCGCGGGAGACCCCCGGCACAGGCGCCGGGTGACATCAGGGTGGCCCCGGGGTGGAGCTGATGGCGGGGATTTGGCTCCCACGTTTCCCCGTCCCTGTTTCTCCCCGGCGTGGAGGCCCCGTGAGGGTGCCCTGGGTGTGCTGGGGGTGGGCAGATGGGGGCACAGCTGCCACCGAGCCAGCCAGTGCAGCCCCCCCGGCGGGGTTGGGGTGGGCGCTGGGGCTGTTTTGAGGCAGAGCTGCGGCACCTTGGCCAGGGTGGGCGCTGGGCACCAAAGCGTTGCCAGCGTGCGGGGGGTTCGTGTGTGTCACCGGGACTGTCCCCTCGCTGGTGGCCGGTGTGTGGCATCACCCTGGTGGGCTGGGGCCGAGGGTGGGAGGGGGGGCGGAGGAGAGGAGGGGGCGAGACGCACGAAGGGGTGTCTGGCCCCGAGGCTGCGGGCTGCAATCCCAGCAATGCCCGGCATTTCCCCGGCGTGGCCGCACGTGCCTCTCCTCGGCCTCCAGCACGGCAGGAATGCGGCGCGGGACCCCCTCGTGCGGGGACAGGGACGGGCAGCGCGGGGGGAGCCGGGGCAGGGGGGCACTGCCCACCCCCAGACCCGGCCCGGGCTGGGTGTCTGCGGCTGCCGGGCTCGCCAAGGTGCTGCTGTTTTTCCTGGTTCCTCCCAGATTTTTGCTGCCGTGGTGGAGAGCAGGGGGGGGACACCGAGACGGGCTGTGGGATGGGCTGGGGAAGGGGGGTTTGTCCCCGTGGAGCAGAACCAGCAGGGAGGGTGGTTTGTTGTGCCTTGTGTGCCCAGTGTTGACTGGGGAGCCGTGAGGGCTGGTGGCTCTGTGCTGGGGGGGCAACAGGGACCTCTGGGTGTCCCCAAAATGGGAGATGGGGCTGTGGGGGGGACTCTTGGTTCAGCCCCTGGTGGGAAGTGCCCTTGGAGCCACCATTCTTTGCCTCAGACTCTGAGCAGAGGGGGCCGGGGGGGATGTGCCAGTCTCTGGGGTGATATTTTTGGCCTCCAAAGGGCTGTTTTGGTCTCCAGGGGGCTCTTTGGGTCCCGAGGGTGCTGCACCAGCAGAGCCTGGGGCAGGATGTGTGTCCCTGCTGCCTGGACTCTGCTGGATGCCGGGAACAGAGAGGGGACCCGGAGCGTCTGAGAGCCCCCACTGGCTCCCCCCTGGCAGAACCCGGTGGTGACAGGGAGGGGACACGCTGCACCCCCGGGCTGTCCCTCTCCCTGTCCCCGGCATCGCCCGGTGCCCTGCGGAGAGGAAGGAAGGAAGGGGCCGGGAGGAGGGAGAGGAGGAAGCGGGGAGGGTGGGATGCTGCCCGGGGTGATGGAGGAAGAAGGGGGCGGATTAAAAAAAAAAAAAAAAAAAAAAAAGGAAAAAAACGTAAAAAAAAA